TATATGAAAGAACTAGAGATCACAATGGGATTACTTTTGGGATTATCTTCTAAGCAGAAGGATGAGGCATAATGATGGATGTAGGGAAATAAAAATTTTTCTAAGGCGGCAGAAGTAATTGAGAAATTCTTAGATATTTTTTTATTATAAATAAAAGCGGACAGAGTTGGCTTTTGTTCTCTTATTTTTTTAAGCCGTGATTTTCTCGACTACATGCGAAACATCCGTAGCGACACCCAAGGAAACTGCGAAGCTGATGAGCTGTCCAGATTGCGAACAGTCATATGCCCTATAATCTCTGCATATGACGTGAGCAAACCTCTTTTCTCGGCTTAATAGTTTTTAAGTCTAGCCTTCATCTGAAGGTCCAATGACCGTTGGCAAAGCGAGACCTCGTGCATTAGATTGAAGTGAACACAACAAGAAGCCTTTACTGCTACTAAACAGGACTTTCAGAAGGATAACAACTGGCATAATATCCGTACAAAGTGTTGTTGGGATTCATGGTAGAACGATGGGTTGCTTCTCAAACGACTTTTAGCGCAGCAGCTGGGTCAGAAATGAGAAGGAATCGGTGGAATATTACCTCAGCCATTGACCTGCTCTCAGTACAGTCCGTTAATTTTTTCTAGGAAAATTTTTTCTTTGATTTCCTTGCAGATTTTGCATTTGTACGAATCATTTATCTCCCGGTAGCTCATAAAACACGCCTAGTGGTCTGTTCATCAGGAAAAGGAAGAGAATTCTTCTTCACAGAACCAACATTGGTATCACAACGAGTCGGTAGGCCGCAGAAGTGTTGGGAAATTTAATCTACTTAACCGACTTGGGGCATAATTATGAAATCAAACATTAAAAAAAATCTGCGATTTTCGGCCGAACTTCTCCTCCTCCAATTTTGTGGTTTTGCATCTTGATGTGTATCCATCAAATGGAGGGGCATACAGTTTATACTAAGCCGCCTCCGAACGGCTGTTGGTTTTTTTACGAGGATCCTTTATTTTATGTCCTAAATACACTCGGAGGTGTGGACATTCCCTGCCGAGGGGTGAACGCAATTAGAAAATTTAACTTAGTTTTTTATTTAAATTTATTTTCTATAAGTTTTTGGATATCAATACCACACCAGGACTTGAGCCCGAGTTTTCCGAATGGCAGTACGTAAGATAATCGCTCGGCAACCGCGGTATTCTTTCAATTGAGGACACCATGTCAGAAATCTTGAAATATGCCCTCGGCGTGACGCACCGGACGCCTAGACCAGAAGTGCTTCTAACGGCCAGATGAGCACAATAGAACCCCAAGCCGAGTTGTTTCTAACAGTAGACATACCAATCCAACTATTTCAAGTACCAAAAATCCCCAATTGGAACTTTGTTTCCGGCTTTTGGCCACGTTTTTGACCACTCTGCTGCGGAGAAAGAGTGGAACTACCTTTAACTTATAGTATCATTCTTAAATCCATTTCTTTTTCCCGGGAATTTATCCTTACCGTTAGAGCAAGATATCAAGAACTGGGTTCGTACACTACTTGGTTGCTCCAGTAGTTAGCTTGAGTCCAGTAAAATCTACTAAAGAGATTGAGATATCAAGCTAAAAATGATTACACGTCCAACCAGTTTGTAAAAGAAAGGAAATGGTATCTTCTTTCTACAATTATTTAATGTCACCTCCGCCGGAAGAACACAAAAATACATTTTTATTATCACTTCCTATCGAAAAGCTCGCTAATGACCAGCTGTGAATAAATTTTTTTTGGTGAGCAATGATTTTTTGAAAGTGAAACTATTTACATACATACATGTACATGAATGTGCTGTGAAGCCGCCGAAAAAGAAGAAAAAAATCAATTCATGAAATCAAATGTATGAAAACGGTGTTGAAATAATTGAAATTCATTAGACGCCAGCCTGGAGCTTGTTTATTATGCAAAGCGCGGCTTGCACTTCCAACCAACACATTGTGAGGGAAAACATAATTGCTTACATACAGACATATATATATGTATATAATATGTACATATGTACATACAGTCGGTGATAATTCTGAGTACGCGCAAACATACATACATATGTACATCCGTAGTAAATGTTTGGAGACTCCTTTTTATGAATGAATGAAACCAATAAAGCGGGTTTTCTAAGTCTCTACACGTCTCAGTCATGGTCCGGGCCAAACACACACATACACACACTCAAACACTCAAAACTACTACTCACGTATTCAAAGCACAATTTTCGTACTATAAATACATACATACAAACCGCTTTGTCAAATTGGCGATTTGCAAGCGTAGACCGGTAAGAGGTGCTGCGGTCGGGCGCACAAACAGGCTTGCAATCAAGCATCAAACCAGACGTACCGAGGCGCGTTCATTCATGAAAATATTACGCGACAGACGGCCATGGGAGTGGGAGTGGGCGCGTGCGCTCGTAGTGACGCCAGCGGAGGTGGAACTGTGCTGCTCAATGAAATTATGGAGGCGTTACTGGAAGTGGCTTACATACGTACATACATATATATGTACATATGTACATTTGCGTACTTTATTTCCATTCATAAAACTTGTTTAGCTGTGAATTGGCAAAAGCATTGATGACTCATCGCTGATTTGAGGCCACAAGACCAGAGAAAAAAGCGAGAAACAAAGAAAAAATTAAAACGAAAAAAAAAAATAAAAAAAAAACAAAAAAAAAAACTAAAAAAAAAAATTAAAAATAGTAAAAGCATAAAAATTCATACGCGTACTTGCCAAATACACAACGACATATACACATATACATATGTATGGACGTACATTTACATGAATGCCTTTAGCGGTGTTCGCTCTATCTGGCTTGGGTGTTGGCGGTTGTGCGCTGTAGCATGTGTTGCATGTGCTGCATGAAAAAAATATCGAACGCTGGCAAAGCGTGTTGGCGGCGTCCGGGCTTCTGCGACAAATTTACTTGGCACTACTCACTCGTTTGGCTCAACTGAAAAGCGGGCTGCGCATGCGCGTGGTCACATATTTATTCTTAGCCGGTAGCTATGTTTGTGTGTGTGAGTGTGTGTATGTGCAGGCTTGCTCGCTACTGTGTAAAAATTCTTTTTATGCTAGAAAATTGCCTACACTTGAACTTTGTAGCTCAGCGAAAATTGCATAAATGTGATGTTTGTTAATCCATAGACCAGTCAAGACATTTATGTGGCAAGCAATGAAAACCGGTTTTATGCTGGTTAAAGTTGACAAATAGTTTCCGCAGCCCATTTTTTTTTTTTGGCCTGACATATACACACACACGCAGCCGAGCGATTGGGTGGGGCTCGTGAACTCTGGAATGTATTAACAGGTGTTTGACCTAGACTTTTCAGTGGGATTTGGAAATAGAAAATTAAAAAATAAATAATATTATTCAGCATATGATAAATAATTACAAAATTTAATTAATTTCAATTAATTAATTATTTTTCATATTTTTTATTTATATTTTTTTTATTTGAGAATTTAATTTTAAATTCTTCAGTAACACAAATTTAATATGCAAACTACGGCTTTGAGACAATTTTTGTAGCAGAGTCAATTAATTAATCACCTATTTAATCCGAATTCTTAATCCGAATAATTATTTAAAACCAAAAAAAAATATTCAATAAAAAACGAGATTTTTGAATGATTAACAAAAAATCAATAGTTTAAATTCCTCTAAAATTAATCGATAAATCGAAATCATACATTGAAGTATTTTGAATATAAATTTTGGTGTAGTAAAAAGAAATCCATTATTTTTCCAATAGATGGTATTATTTAAGTGTATCTCGCTCTGTATAGATCCGATCATGTACCGCTGGATGGCGTTAGAAAGATGACATTTTGTACTAAAAAGCTTTTCTGGCAGTTTTCTGATTGGTTTATTCAGTTTTCTTTGAGCGTGAGTCAAAGATGGGCAATAGCAAATAGGAAATGCGTTATATTTTACAATTTTTATTTGATAATGGCGAAAACTCAAGCCAGGTGGCTGCAAATGTGAATAGAGTTTATGGTCCTGATACTGTGACAGCCGTTCAAGAGCAATTTCGGTTTCGTCGATACCGTTTCGGTAGTTTCGATGCCAAAGATATACCACGCACTGAAGGTCAATTGTCGAAAATGTCGATAAAATCATGGACATAGTCGAGTGCACTGTTTCGATTGTCCAAGAGCTAAAGATTGCACAAAAAATCGTTTGGAAGCATTTGCATAAGGCTGAATACGAAAAGAAGCTCGAATCGAAACAAAATCGACCCTTTTCTGTAGCGGTTGGTGAGTGGCGATGAAAAGTCGATCACTTCCGACAACGTCAAGTAAAAATGGTCGTGGTCGAAATGCGGTGAGCGGGCGAAAGCGATGGCCAAGCCAAACATTTATTAAATAAATTTAAAATAATTAAACTTTTTCTTTGATTTCCATCGCTCAAATAACACTTGTTCCAAGAGCAAAGGCTGAGCGCAATTTCTTTGAGTTTTTATAATTTTTTTTAGATTTTTCGTCAGCAGTACACTGATACCGGAAATTTATTATATCTTCATAATTATTTTGGAACTACTTGTTGACTTGACTTTTGGCTACCAACACTAGCTTCGATTCTACTATATGTAAATCGGGGTTTTCTCCGTTCTTCCACTTGCTTAATATAAATAGAAATATCGATCATTTACAACCCGATATTAATTTCGCTTCTCTAGAATTAGAAAATATGCCAAAACTTGAACAGCAAGCTCTATTTAGCTACATGTGTATCTATATAAATTGTTTATTTGAAGCATTTTGAATAAATTCATCCCTTATTTGCGGGGGGTATGTACTATAGCTCAAGGTTTAGTTTGAACATTTTCGAGCTGCTTTAGCAATTCGAGCTTTTTCTAGCATTTTTGAGCATTTTGAATCAAAAATTATTTTGATTTTTTTCCCAAAACTTTTTTCTACATTTTTAATTTTATTTATCTCACTGAAATACTAAAGAAATTTTGATAAGCCGAAAGGAAATTTGAAAAACTTCAAACCATCCTTTGAACAGTTGAGCAACGAACGAGTATCGGTTGCTCACTGTACTCGATACCCAGGGATCTGGAGTAGGTTAAAATGAGAGACGATCGTCTAAGTTCTGTCTCTAAACAACCCAAAGGTCTTATTCTCAAACTATTTTGTATATGTGTAATACAACAGCATTTGCCATTTGCACCGGATGTACCAAATAATCAACGAGTTCCACCGCCGACGCATTTGTTGCAGCGACGCGACGCGACGCCACCACCGACGCATTAGTCACGTATGCCGATATACATATATATATATATACACTTCAGTTAACCGCTTCAATTGATGGGTAAGTCACACAATTGACGAAAAAAGCTGAAAAAAATAAAAGAACAACAAACAACGGTACAGCGCAATTGGCACAATTAAAGCGTCTAACCACAAGCCTCTCTTTCCAGCTGAGCACAGACGCGTGGGTGTTATTTTCATGGAGGAAAATCAAAGTAGTAGCACTGACTAACGTACAGAAGAGTCGCCGTGGAGTGATAACAGCGGAAGTGCTTAATATTACAGAAAAAAGACGATAGAGAAGCCAAAATTCAGTGAGTAGCAGTTTTGCGTTGTGCGATTTTCATAAAAAATTTTTGTGCCGAATTTAATTCTGCCTTGGTAAATTTTATTTTACGTTTTAATAGTTTATTTACGTAAACAATAATTTATTTTATTTTGTTGTATTTAATTTAATATAATTTTAATTTATTTTATATTATTTTAATTATTTGGCGTTATTTCATTTATGTTTTTCTAATATAATTTATTTTATTTTCTTATTTCGTTTTCTTTTATTTGTTATTTGTTTTGGTTTACTTTATATTTTATTTAATTTCTTCTATAGTAATTTATTTATTAAATTTTTTTTAATAATTTAATTTTTTTTATAGTATATTATTGTATTAAAGTGCTTTTTATTATTTATTTAACTTTATTTATTTATTTCCCTATATGAAACATATTATTTAATTTTATTTACCTTTTTTTTATTTTTTTTAATTGTTTTTTAATTAATTTTATATAATTACGCTTTCAATTTTTGTTTAATTTTATTGTTTTTTTTTTTACTATTTTGTTTTATATATTTAAATTTATTTTATTGCCATTTATCTTATTTTTTTATTATTTTATTTCCCTTTATTTTTTGTTATTTTGTTCTATTTTGTGTTATTTTATTTTAGTTATTTGATTTTATTTTAAATCTTTTTTCAATTTAATTTTTTATTTGATATCACATTATTGCACTAAACTGTTTTTCTAATTTATTTATTTTACCTATATAAAGAATTTTATTTTACTGTATTTCATATTATTTTTTTAAATTTATTTACATTTATTTTATTGTCATTTATTTTATTATTATTTATTTATTTTATTTATTAATTTTATATTTTTATTATTTTATTTACCTTTATTTTTTTAATTTCTTTGCTCAATTTTTTATTTCATTTTATTTATTATACAATATATAACTTAATTTATTTCTATTATTTACATTATATTATATATTTTTGCCTAAATTATTATTATCGTATTATTATTATTTTTATTTACAGTATTTCCTTTTAGTTTATATAATAAAATTTCCTTCATATTATGTTAATTTAATACTTTATTTTACTTTTAATTTTTGTTTAATTGATTTTCAATAATTTTTTTTAAATTATTTTATTTCACTTCTTTATTATTTTATTATATTTATTATAGTATAAATATCATATTTTGTTTACTTTTGTTATTTATTTCATTTCAGCTTGTCTTGTTTTAATTTACATAATGTAATTAATTTTATTTTATTTAATTTTGATTTTTATTATTTTAATTTTTTATGATATTTTATTTGAATTTACTGTGATTGATTTTATTATATTTTTTTATTTTAATTTTTTTTTCTTTTATTTCATTTTACTTTATTTATTTTATTTTTTATAGTTTGTTTTTTATACTTTTTTAATTTTTATTTTAATTTAATTTAAAAATTTTATTTTATTTTTAATATTTTCGTTATAAATTTATTCTAAGTTGTGTTTTATTTTGTTTTTTTTTTTACGTTAAGTTAATTTATTTTACTAATTAATTGTAAGTAATAAAATAAATTTTATTTTATTTTATTTCAATTTATTTCATTGTTTTTATTTAGTTTTATTTTATATTACCTTTATTTTTATTATTTTAATTTTTTTAGTTTTATTTTACTTATTTCTTTAAGTTTTTGCCATATTTTATTACTTATTTATTTTGTTTTACTTTACTTTAATTTATGTTATATATTTTTAAACGGTTTAATTTTTTGTTTTATATTATAATATTGTATTACACTATTTTTCTAATTTATTTCTCTTATTTGATTTTATTTATTTTCCTTATATCAAACATTTAATTTAACTTTAGTTAATTAATTTTTTTATTTGTTGTCTCTTATTTTATTTTGCTTTTAATTTTTCTATTTTATATTAAATTGTTAAATTTTTCAAGTTTCTGTTGTTGTCTTTTATTTTATTTTAATTTTTTTTTTATTTTATTACCTTTTATTTTATTCTGATTTATTTTAGTTTATTTTGTTTAATATTGTTTTGTTTTATTTTATTTTGATTTATATTATTTCCTTTTTTTATTTTATATTTTTTAATTTAAATTGTTTTAATTATTTTATTTTCAATTTTTTTACTTTTATTATTTTATTTTTCTCTTTATTTTAATTTTTATTGTTGTTTGATGCTGTTTCATCTTATTTTATTTTGTTTATTTATTTTTTTTTGTTTTTATTTTATATATAGTTTATTTATTATATTTTATTTTATATCAATTAATTTTCTTATCTTTCTTTTGTTTTTTTATCTTTTATTTAAATTTTTTATTTCATTTTGTTTTATTTTATTTTATTTTCCATTTTTTATTTTTTATTTTTTATTTTTTTTTTTATTTTTGATTTTTATTTTTGTTCAAGTCAATATTATTTTAATTATTTTCATATATTTAATTTTGCTTTATTTGTTATTAATATGTTTATAGTATATTTATTCTTGTTGTTTGTTTTGCTTAAATTCTTTTTAATTAACTTCTAAATTTAATTTATTTGCATCTAATTTTTGTGTGACCACCTTAGTTAGCTATTACTGTGTACACACTTACAAATTTATAAAATTTTCCGTTTTTTAACGGAAAATGGCGTTTGGGTTTGTCCATATTTCAGTAATAATTATTATTATCCGGTCATCGAGCACACAGTTACTTACCTACAAATATATCACAAATATATGTATATATTTTATGTACGAAACTTGTCTACGCAACTATGTATGTATGTATGTAAATGGTAATTAATAATAATACCGGCATTTCCATTTGCACTTTAAGCTCTTTTATCGACACCGACACAAATTTACAAATTGATGCGTACATATGTATGTATGCAGCGCTGCATATGCTGCCGTCCGCATGCGTGGGCGTTGCACAGAATTCTATATGAGTGAATGCGTTCTCTACTCATTATTATTTTAACTCTTTTATTTATGCCAACAACAACAGCAAAAATGAGATTCGTCAAGCTCAATCGCTCGGATATGACGTAGGCACTTTTGCGGCATATTTTGATTTATGGTAAACGACTGACTGCTATTTGACGGATATGAATTTTTCAAACTTCTCTTTTGTTTTACTGCAGCTGACCACATTTGTCCTCGACGTTTTTGATTATATTTGTATACTCTTTTTATGCGTTCCATAATATTTTCCACGCCATTAATGGTTTTGACGTTTGAAATTAATTTTTAAGTTTTTTAATTAAAAATAATAAAATTCGCTGCACGCCGGTAGCTTGAAATAGCTGAGTGCCAGGTAGGCTTTTTTTGTTTGGATTTCTGGGAAAGATGACGAGGGCTATTTCACTCAATTTTTGGCAATAAATAGTGTTAATAATTAAGTTCATCATCGGTTTGTTTCAAACCGCATGAAACCTGTGTGGCGTGACAAGGAATCCTAGTTGATCCATATATAACGGTACAGTTTTGGTCCTTGTCATAAACTAGGCTAAAAATATTAAGGGAGTGTATCCTTAAACTCTACAAAGATTTACGTGTTTCCGGCATTTACCTCGCTCCGAGACGCCAACGTCAAAGCATCGCACGCCAGCATCTGGTAGTATGCGAGCTCCTGCTTTCTGCACTGTCTTTTCTACTTTTACCCAGGTTTTATATCTACACCTAATTGGCGTATTATAACCGCCGAAGCGAGCTTTGCCTCCAATACTTATAAGGAGATTTTTCCTTAAAGTCGCAAAATACACGGACATGGACTTGAACGCAATACTCCTTCCACAAGATAGTTTGTTATCCACTGTGGAACAGGTTCTTTCACTGATTGGCCTAAAAATAGAGAAAGTAATGGGAGCTTTTCATTGCCTGAGATGAATGAAAACTCCAGCTCCGGACCTTTCCCACTTCTTTACGGCAAGACAGCTACAAATACAACCGACATATCCACGGCTATCCTTGTCACCAGCTCAAACTCGATGACGACGAAATTCCGACCACAAACAACCTAAAGTTGCCGGGAGTCACATTTGCCAACCCGGACTCCTTCACTTCATATATGGCCGCAATTGGCGCAAAACTTCAGAGGCGCAACAAAATACTCAAAGCGCTTACTGGGAGCACTTGGACAAAGACAAAGAAACCTTGCTGGCAGCATGCACAGCAATTGGCCGGACGGTCGTTAACAATACTGTAACGATCTGGGCAGCAAACGATACGCAGTTGAACAAGTTGCAGACCTGTCAAAGCACCACCCTCAGGACAGCTACAGGAAATCTTCTGAAGTCGTTCGAGCAACACTTGCACAGCGAAGCATATATACAACAAGTTAAGGAGCAAAATGATTTGTCGTGCAAGCAATTTCTGCTAGGATGCTGAACCTCCACCTAGGCATATCAGAAAGGGAGTACAAGGCTTGAAGGACTCAACTCCATTAACCATTCACAAGAGTCAGTCAACACCTTCAAGACCTCTCTCCCTGTGAATGGCGTCCTCGGAGTCGAATAACAACCCATAATAGTTGAAGAGCTCAAGCTGCCTCGAGAGTTCCGCGTACGGCTGCCGCATTTTTGGACCGGTTATTGTTGCAGGCTAAACTCCTACCCATCCAGACTCGGCCTCGACATACCTAATGTATGTCCAGCATGTAACCAGGCCCCGCACGATACTAACCAGCACTTTACATGCCCTCTAAAATCTACTTAGCTAACCCTTCTCCCCCGTTGGTCGAGTCCGTCGAAATAGCTCGTTTTCTGGACCTCCTGTTAGATGGTCTCGATGACTTGGATTAACTAACCTGTCTTTAGGCGGGGTTGGAAAAGTTGATACAACAACAACAACAATATCAACAGTAGTCCGTCTGTCTGATTCCAATACCGCCGCGAATCACCGAAATCTATTTCATTCGCAAGCGACCTACTACTGGGAGAAGGCAGTTGGTATGCTGGGATCTTTTTGCCTTCACTTTCCCACTTCGCTTGATTCGTATGTTGAGGGAATTATTGCAGAAATTGGTCTATTAAATATTTCCTGGAAACTTCTGTTGATTTATAAAACTGAAAATTCCTCAAATAAAATGTCCATGTTTACATGTACATGCATATGTGTGTTTGTATGTATGTACACTTGTTAAAAATTACACCAAATAATAATAATTCAGGAAAAATTTACATTTCACAAGAACCAGTGAGTTTTGTAATATAATATGATGAGCCATTGTAAATATATACATACATATAAACAACTGCATATGAAACTATTTATATACATATGTACATACATACATATGCATGTATGTTAATACTATGTGAATAAGGTATTCCCTGTGCCCGGCGGCTTTACATATAATAACGAAACAATCAAATATTTGTGGGGCAATCAGGTGCTATTTTATTAACTGATAACGCTTACCGAAAGCACACACACACACACACACACACACAAACGCATGCAAGCCTACTTGCAGGCAAATACCTGAAATAACATGTTCAGATGTACATACTATGTATGCATGTATGTGCATATGTAATTATCGATCAATATATTTGATTAGGTTAACCTCGCATATGTACCCACATCCATACATATGTACACAAACAACAACACCGAATTACCCGCAGCTCAACACATTCGGTCAAATCATTCATCAAAATAACAGCGCCGGCCGACGCCATCGCCATCGTCATCGTCATCGCCACCGAAGTTGCCGCTTAACTACAAAGCAAGCCACTAATCAGTTGCCATCAGAGAGACAACAACAACAACAACACTAACAACTGCAACAGCAGCAAATGGTGATTAGTGTGGCTATTTAATGTACACTCACACACACACAAATGTGTACATACAAATATATGTATGTAGTTAGCGGCAATAAACATATCCATACTCATTAGGGTGGTGCAAAATTAAAATAAAAATTAATAATTTTTTTTTCTTAGATTTTTCCGTGGGAAAATTGGACAACTCGAGGCATTTTTTCAACGGATTCTATAATTGGCTCTTTTTAACCGCTGAAGCGATTTTCGGCCGCCCTCCTCCTCATCCAATTGGTGGTTTTGCGTCCTGATGTTTTTCCAACAAATGGAGGAACCTAGAGTTTATACTAAGCCGCCTCCCAACGGCTGAACAGTGGGGTTTTTTATGACGGGCTTTTATTTCATGTCCGAAATACACCAGGAAGGGTTGACATTTCCTGCGGAGGGGCGACCACAATTAAGTTAATTTTTATTTAAATTAATTTTCTATAAATTTTTGGATGGTAGCACGACACCAGGACTTGCACCCGAGCCTTCCGAATTGCAGTACGCAAACCAAAAAACTTTGGTAAAAACTTTCTGTTCAAAACTGCTAGCGCCGGCTCATCGAACATTGATGCAGCTATCGTTGTTATTGTTGTTGTTATCGCGGCTTACTCAACTTCGCCTGGAGTCAAAGTCATCCAACATGAGGTCCACAGAAGGAGCTGTTTCGATGGGTGCAAAAAGATTGTTGGATGAGTGGATTTGACTCAGTAGGCGAACAGCTGGTTATTGTCCTACAGAGATTACCGTGTTTGGCTCAAATGTAAAGTATGTCGGGCTTAAGTCTTAGTAGAGAGTCTTCAACAGTAACTAAATCTTAATTGTGGCAGCATTACTCGGGTCTCGCGAGAAAGCTGGAGCTGTTTTTCTGCTATGTGTAGTGGTTAGATTCCGAGCACACCATTTACAGAAAGAGAATTTATAAATGTCTTCAGTGTATGTCTGCAAGGGCAGATGCTATCAACGATATACGGCAACATTTATATGTCCTGATAGACGATTGCACCTTTTCTATTTTTCTCTGCGGTCAAGATTATGTTCACCAGCAAGAAATTAACGGATTATAAGAGGTCATCACGTCCGAAACTTCGATTGGTACCGATCAGCTTGAAGAGGCACTTCCCGACTCCGATGGAACGTCAGTCAGTTCACACAGTTATACAAGTTTTGTGGCTATACCAAATTCAGACAAAATATATATACGAATATCTAACAGGTCTGACACCATATTGATTAGGTTCAAAAATTTCGTTGAGGCGGGTTTTTAATATGTCTCAAAATGCGCTCGATACCGCCTTCCTTACATGCGATATTGAGGAGGCTTACCAACGATCATCTCAGCAGATTTTTGGATCTTATTCTTGTGATGATCCGTCCACTTTGGCAGCTCTTCGCCAACATAGCTGAATAGCCTAGTCGCACAACCTTCGGCCCAACCGTTTTGTTGTTCTTCAGGCAGGTTATTGCTATTTCTGATCAATAATATTTAGCGACCACCTCTCCCACCAAAATTCTTACACCGCAGTATTGGACAACAATTTCGGGCATTTTTTTTTCTGCAATTTCAGAATGGTACCACCCTAATATAGACTAGGTAGCCACTTAGAGAGGTGTATGTGTGCCTAATATTATAACCGTACGAGTTCGACGAATGCAAACATAACCAATTATCAACTGCTTGCGCCCACAATTAAAAGCAAATACATACATACATACATACATACAAACATAAATACTTAACCGAAATTAGGCAGCCGTGAAGCGCCGCGGCACATCAAAGGACACACCGTGGCGGTCAGCTATGTACGTAAATGTATGTGCGTGGGGTCATCGTGGTTGGGTCGGTTGGTTGATTTTAACAAGACTCCGCTGCAGCAATCCACAAGAGAAGAAAGAGCAAGGAAACGAGGTGCCAGGATCTGCGTGCGGTTACGGTGCATTTGTGTAGGTATTTGGTATATATTTCTATACAAGTATGTGTGTAAGTGTGCATGTTATTATAGCAACAACCATCCGTCTGTAGAGCTGTGCTGAAGTCAAATATTTATACGGTTTATCGCACGCGATCACTGGTCAGCAAAATAGCAAAACCTTCAAAGGTGGAGAGAGAGAGAAGGAGAAGCGGAGTTGCAAAGAAGCAGATAGACGGTGGAGCAGTAGCATTCAGTGTAAGCCTCAATCGACATTTAAATGGGTCCAATAAATTTAATCTCCCTCCTCCACCAGCCGCATAAATATCTACATACCAACATGCAACTAAATACATTTGAGTGAGGCTTAAGCCACGGCTGACTTGCAACTTTAGGCCAAGGCTTATTAGCTGGAACCTCCATTTATTTATGTAAATGTGTACACTAGGGTTGTCGAAGGACTGATGAGGTATGTTGAAAATGTGTTTTTTGTGAGGTTAAAAGTTTGAGCTTCATCAGGCTCCTGTGGTCCTGCTAGCACGAGTAATGCATCTTTTTTTATAAAGAATTATTGACACAAAGTTTCTCACGCAAGCCCGCATTTTACTCTGTTCTTATTCGATCAATTTCGGGTCAGGGAAGTTCGGACTGCTGCTTGGTTTTCATCACCGGTTTGTGGAATGCTTCGTTTAATGTGGCCCTCGGCGGATTCGGTGGGGGGTGGGTAATGCTAGGTCTAAAACTAACTCTCTCAGGTAGTCAACGCATTGTCAAAGAGTATCAAGGCATCAGAGAAAAAGAATTTCAAAGCTCTAAGGTTACTTCTACGGCGGCTGGTGGGTTATAACCCAGAGCAAAGATTATTGTAGACTTAATTTGTGCTGAATCTGATTACACAATTAATCCAATTTATCTATAGATCCAAGATCATTACTTGCTGTGAGGCACTAAATCCCACGCGATGGCAACTGGTTCTAACTCGGACTGTCACACAGTCATCTCTCTCAGCCAAATGCAGAAGACTTTTGAAGACGCAATCATGTTTTGCAGATGTAAAATGGATCTATTGTTCGGTACCTCTATTACAATGCGAAGTGCTTTAAGGCATTTATCTCGGCTCTCTGAGAAGTCTTGCACAGAGGAAATACCCGGAAGGCAATGTCATAACCTGCGGCATGGATAACGGCTCTCTGAGAAGTCTTGCACAGAGGAAACACCCGGAAGGTGATGCCATAACGAATTATAACAAAAAAAAGAAAAAAACATCGTCGGCACACACACAACGCCTGTAGTCGAGGTCATCTAACTGGAGGTCTAGATAACCACCTATTTCGATGGGTTCCAACCAGAGTGAATGGGGCGTCAGATAAGTGGATTTTATTGGGCAAGCAAAAAACTCGTTATTGCCATGCGGAGACATACTTCAAGTCTTAGTAGATAGCACTTCAGCCTACAACAGTATCTAAAACATAATTGTGGCAGCATTACTCGGGTCTCGCGAGAAAGCTCGAGCACTTTGTCTGCTATGTGTAGTGGTTAGACTCCAAGCACACCATTTACATAAAGAGAGTTTATAAAAGTGCACACGGGCTCTCTGTGAATGTCTGAAAGGGCAAACGCTATCATTGGTATGCGACGACATTTATATGTCCTGATGGATGATTGCAACTTTGCTATTTAGCATATGTACAGGGCGATTAACAAAAGTTCGGTCTGTTGAAAACTTTGAATTTTATTTATTAAATCTAAACATACCAAATCCTTAGTCATTACTTTATTAGTCTTCGCTCCAAATTTTACACCGATCGGCTTAAATGGAGACAAAAAAAACCAAAAAAACCAAAGAAAAGGCAAAACAAAATCCAACAACAAACCAAACAGAAACTCGCCATATGATTCTCTTCGGGCTGCGGCGTAATTTACAGCCAATACAAATATTCAGTGAATGCCAAATTGCAAAGACTATTTCTAAGTGGGTCCGAAAATTCCAGACTGGGCATTTTTCCGTAGAGAACTAGTTCTGAGAACGCCGACCATAATCATTCTTTGATGACGTTAGTGCAGCCCTGGTGAAGAGCAACGATTAACATAAGAAATGATTGCATTGGACTTGAATGTCATGTCTTTATCGCGAATATTAAGTTATTGTCTGGGATACACAAGGAAATCTGCTCGATGGGTACCACAAATTTTAAGTGAGGCTCAAAAAGAGCAATTAGCTCAATTTTTCCAAAGAAAAAATTCGAAAATGGTCAGTCTGGCAACTTTAGTAAAGTCATTACTGGTGACGAATCATTGTTCTATAAGTACGATCCAGAAACCAAACAGTAGTCCATGGTATAGAGCCCAACAGGAGCAAACCCACCCGTAAAAACTAAACAACAAAAATCAGCGGCAAAAGTAATGATGTCAGTTTACCTCACCCTATCTAAAATCGTAGCCGCTATTCCACTGGAAAAGGGTCAGACGGTAACTACAAAAGAGTACACCGAAGAGTTCTTACCAAAACTTTCAAAAAATTTGTTGGAAAACAGGAAGAAAGAGGATTTGCGGCCCTTCTTTTCACAGCATAACAACGCGCCATCCCACACTGCTGAAATAACGAGTAATTTGATAGCGATCTCTGGGATCGAAGAAATACGTCCAACACCATATTTCCCGGATATAGCACCTTGAGATTTCTGGACATTTCCATGGTTAAAAAAAATTAAAAGGAAAGGTCTTTACTAGCAACGAGAAGATAATTAATGCGGTCAATGCTGAACTTGATAAGCTTAAAAGGCAAGATGTTGAATACTGCTTTCAGAAGTGGACCTATAGGCTTAAGAAATACACTAAAATCAATGTGAGAAGATAAAAACGGACAAAGATTACGAAGTTACGAATAAACTCAAAAAACAATTTTTTTTTCTGGGCATTTTACCGAACTTTTGTTAATCCCTTCGTATTTCCAGCGATTATCAGCCAGGGTTTAAGACACTTGACTGAATTACCCCTCCTTATGGTAGCACCCTAGTATTTATATTCACCTCTAAGTTATATTTCGTTAAATATCACAAAACATGAATTACGGTTTATCGAATTAAAAATAAATTCAAAAATTGTGCTGGACGTAGCCGACCTCTAAACATTTGGTGAAATAGAAAAGATTGTTTTTCACTTCGATTCTTGGCCCCAGGGATATGGAGGGAAACTGTAATAATGACGAACTTGCCAAACCCTCGTATAACTTTTGGGAAGATTTCGTGAAAAAGGAGCTGGGGTTGAGCTTCTAACAGAATAAGCAACTGATGCGCTGTTGTTGATTCGGCTCACGCCAAATGCGGTCCGTACAGGAATTAGGATCAAGAAAATAATTTTTTTAATATTATTTTTTATTTTAATTTGTAAATAGAAGCATTAATTATAACTTTTGTTTTCAAACATTAATTTACTGAGAATTTTCTTTTCCATTTTCGACCCACCCTAATATGCACTTAATAATGTGCATATATATGAAAAAATAAATATTTAAAATTGTCTTGAAACAACATATGTTTGTACACATGTAGCGCAAAAAATTATTTCAATCTTTGCATGATTGAAAATAAATATCACATCACGATGAGTCGCTTGCGCCGCCGCTTTGCGAAGGGTGAAAAAACGCACTATAATTTGGTCAGCAGTGATAAAAATCGCGTTGCTTTTGATTTTTCAACATTTTGCCGGCAATTTCTACGAAAACATTTAATGGCAAATACTTTCAATTCACTCATTGTTTTCCCGTGCGGCTGCCACTCAGTGAATGTACAACACACGTTGAAGAGAGTAAATGTTTGGTTGTATGAAGGATGAATGGATGAATGGATGAATGGACGAATGGCGGGGCTGAGTGAATGGAAAATTAACATTTCAATTTTCTGTTTGACGAAATTCAATTGACAGCGTTCACTAATTGTATGAATATATGTAAATAACTACTTATATGTGTATGAATGTATGTATGTATGTATGTATGTATGTGTGTGTCTAAAGTAGAGCCAACGTCCGGCCAACAGCGCTCAGGTAATATAATTAGAACAAAGGACATTTGTGCTTATGCGTGTACTTATTGGTGAGTGTGTGTATTTTTCTCTCGACCTGTCTGTATATTTGCACACTTTTCGAATGGCAAAAATTTCGAAATTGAAAATTTATTGACAGCTGTTTGCTTAAGCGCTTAGGCAAGTAACAGAGTGACTTATTTTGAAGTCAAGGGAAGAGGGTGGAGGTTACTAATAAGAAAAAATAATCACAAATCAAACATCTTTATTGGCTTCTTAGCTCAATTTACGATAAAAAGAGGAATTTTCAGTAGACAGTGGATTGCCCAATTGGAAATTTTTCCCGCTTGACGTTCGAAAAATTATGTTCTGGTAACCGGACGTTCTGACAATATGTTATATGTATGAGTCACCAGCTGACTAACGGTAACAAATTTTGAGGTTATCGAACTATTTAGTAAGACCAGAAAATGTATCGCAGGTAAAATGGCTTCGAGTCTGATGGTTAGTCTCCAACTCCGCTAAGCATCTGCTTGATAAAAACAAACTCAGCCAAAAAATCATCATTGACTTTAGGCCAATTAAGAGCTAGCCGCCTCTGCCATGTAAGAGGCCCTGTACTCCTTCCCTAGTAGAGAAGAATTAATGGAAGCCCGTAACAACGAAGATATCCATATCCGTACTGATGGGTCTAAATGTCAGGCAGGCACAAGCCAAAGTAGCTTGAAACTCAATGATGACAACTTTATATACCAAGCAGAGATGGTGGTCGTGACCGAAGCTGTCAAATGGACAAACACTTTAAAAGAAAAATAGGACAGTGGTGGAATGTTTAAGTGAGCGAACTGCTTTAACCATGCGACGAAGTAAAGAGCGACTGAATGGTAGCAAGACCTGCGGGTTCTATGGATCGAAATATTCATATTAAATTCAGAAAATCTATGAAACTATACAATTCATGTTCGGCCCTGACCCAACTCCCTCAATTTTTCAAGAGTTTTTTGTTTTTTGGTTATGCAAAATATGTCAGGTAGCTAGGCTCGAAGGTAGCTAGCCTGATAAGACAGAAGTGCTAGGCTGTTTGGGACCATTATTGACACAATCAGGCCATAATAGGCTTTGCTATTATAGCTCCCGCAGCTCCCGGACTACCGATTTGTGCAAGATTGTGAATTCTTTTTTCTTTTCTTTGGTTCCGGTTCCCATTTATGCAGAAAACATCAGGTTCTTATAGCTGATCCCTCTAAATGAGTGGAGGTCCTCCGCGTATTGCATCGTATACTTTCAAATCAGGAGTGGCTCTCAATACGCTGAACTAAGTCAATATCGTCGTATATCGCACACAATTCAACGTTCCATCTTTTGTGGTGTTCACTGTCGTCTATATGTAAACGAACTTCTCCAACAAACACTCAAAGCAGACTCATGGCATGTGGTTAACGTCTATGCTTCTGAACCATACAACGGAAATGGAATAATGGGTGACTTATTGAGTTTGGTCTTTGGTCGTCGAGAGAAAAATTCACATTTCAATTGCCAACTTAGTCCAAAGTAGCACCTGTTGATAGCCAAGTAGCATATTTTTTATCGGGCCCCGGTGAAGGCGATCAGCTTCAGCACGTTCGGGATTGTTTCGTCGTGCAGGCTAAGTTTTGCTTTTCTTGCATCAAAGATGCCTTATTTGACCGACACAATCGCCATGCCCGATGCACCCGAGATGGGTGGAGCACTCATATGTAGCAGTGAAGAAATTATCATTAATCCAGCGACCTTCCCTTCCATTGGGACGATTTGTGGCGAGATGTTGATGTGCTTGCATAAAATTGAGAAAAATCAGCAGCCGGGATTGATTTTTTCCAGTAGGGTATTTGCGCGCTGCACACCTTAAGGTCATATCATTGAAATTGGAGTAGCTATTAGAGTAACCGTTCTTGGTTTCGCATCAAAGGTGGCTTTTACTTTCCATAATGACACACCGAAAATAACGTGTTTTTTGCTTTGTGGAAATAAAATCGAATATAAAAATTTTTACGATCAAAACCTGCAACCCCTGTGCCCGTGCCAAACGTGTGCCCTTCACCAGCCGCTGAATGTGTCAGGAAGAAGAAGAATATATTCAAAACAATGCTATTGTCTTCTTTGATTTCCTATGTACATATATGTATATGTATTTATAAATTTAAATGTATAAATATGTGTGTGGGTCTCTTTGTCTTATTCGCATATCCAACGCATTTCGCATTCATTTTTCGAATTCAAAATTCTTTGATTGCAATTTCTGCTTTGTTATTTATTGTTTAGCATTGTTGTTTTCTATTTGTTTCTTTTCCTTTTTGCTAAACTCGCCAACTCACCACTCACTCTGCGAACAATCACTCACTCAGCGTATTGAAATCACAAAATCAAATATTTAAAATTGGCTTGTTTTCAATTTGAAGGATTTCGCTTTTATATAAAAACATAGAATACATATTTACATGTACATATGTATTGTACGAAAAAACAACACAAACAAAAACGGCAGCTGTATTTTCAACTATTGACATGAGTCTTTAGCCTCAATCAGGGACAGTACAATACAATGGGGATAACGGAAAGTATGGAAATAAATTCTGTTATCTGTTACTAAGGAGAGTGTACAGAGCGAGCTTTGATACTAGAGCTTTGGTACTAACCTCGCTTGGAGAACTATAGACGAGTCGAATGTATGCAATCACCAAGTGAAGTCTGATCTCT